TATAAGCCTACAACCCCAGCTTCTCAGGAGGTGGAGGCAGGATGATTCTGAGTTCAAGGTCTACCTGGGAAACTTACAGAGACCCTGCCTCCAAATTTAAAAAGTAGCACTTGCCTAGCATATTTAGTGCCTTGGGTTGCATCCCCCAGCACTGAAAAGATCCATGTTTACGCAATTTCTAATTAGAGGCTCTCCCTCACCTCCAATGGTTCAACTTACTGAACTTAATATGTTTTTATTTTATGAGTGTGGAAGCAATACATATTTAGTATAAACCAAACTTTGACTTTTGTCCTGAATTTGCAAAACACAATGCGATCCTATCACATGATGTTAAGCAGCAGTGGCAAGCAGTAGCTCATGGCCGTAGGATCACAGAGGGAAGCAACAGACACTCTGTAGTGTTCTGTGGCTGAGCAACATCGTTCAGTCGGTAAGGGGTGTTAAATACACTTTCAACTTAGGATGTTTACAACTTAAGATGGGTGTTCTGGGCTCAAGCCCTATCATAAATAGATGGTGATCTATATACAGCCTGTGTTATTTAGGTTTTTTTGTTTTTCTTCTCATTTTCTCTTTTCTTTCTTTAAAGACAGGATCTCCTATTGTATAGGCTGGGCATGAACTCAGTACGCATCACAGGATGGCCTTGTACTACTGATCTCCCTGCTTCCCTTTCTTGAGGGTTGGGATTACAGTTGTGCAGTGCTATTTTGAACAATACAGCATTGTTAACTATAGTCACCATGCTAAGAATCCAATACTTATTTAGCTTATAACTGCAAGTTCATATAACTGCAAGTTCATATCTTTCTTTCTTATTTATTTATTTATTTTTGGTTTTTCCAGCTAGGGTTTCTCTGTGCAACAGTTCTGGCTGTTCTGGAACTCGATTTGTAGACCAGGTTGACTTAGAACTCACTGACATCGGCCTGCCTCTGCCTCCCAAGTACTGGGATTAAAGGCGTGTGACCACCATTGCCGGCTGCAAGTTCAGATCTTTCAACCAATATTTCTCCATTTCCACCTTGGTCCTGTCAAACACTTTTTCTATTCTCTGCATTTGTAAATTCCATTTTTTAAATTTTTTTTATTTTTTGAGATTATAATGTAATTATATCATTTCCCCCTTTTCTTTTTGATATCCAAACTCCCCCATCTACTTGCTCTCTTTTAAATTTATGCCCTCTTTCTTTAATTATTGTTAAATACATATATTTATACATGTAGTATATATATACATATTTAAATTGAGTTTTTAATTTATTTTGTTTTGAGGGTACAGATAATTGAAACTTTTGCATGCAGGACAAATGCTCTACCACTAACCTGTAGCCTGGGCTCAAGGTTTTTTTTTTTTGATTCAACGTATAAGTCAGATCATGAAGCATTTGTATTTCAGTGTCTGGCTTATTTCACTTTGTACATTATTCTCTAAATTTATATGTATTGTTGCAAGTGGAAATTCCCCTTCCTCTTATGGTTAAGTACTGTTCTATCTTATATGCACATTTTCTTGATCCATTCATCAATGAACAAAAGCTTAGGTTGTTTTCATATCTTGGCTATTGTGGATAACACCACAATGAACTTGGGAGTGGCGTTATCTCTTTGACATACAGATCTCATTGCCTTTGGCTTTATACCAAATCAAGTAGTGGTATTCCTGGATTATGTGACATCACTTCTTGTATTTTCATTGTTTTTAGAAAACCTTAATACTGTCTACTAAAATAGTATTAACTTACATAAACGCCAATGAAGGTAAGTTCCCTTTTCTTCACATCCTTTCCAAAATTTGCTACCTCTTGTGTTCTTGACATAGCCATTCTAGTAGGTGTGAGTGGGCATCTTTTTGTGGCTTTAATTTGCATTTCCCTGATGATTAGTAATGTTGAACTCCTTTTAATATATCCATTGGGGCACTTGTATGTCTTCTTCGTGATAATGTCTATTTAAATCTGTTCGCCCACTTGTATTTATTTTTGCTATTGAGTTTAATGAACTCCTTGTATATTTTCAATACTAACCTCCTTTTGATGTATGGTTTGAAACTATTTTCTCCGTCCTTAGGCTACCTTGTCATCCTGTTGATTGTTATCTTTGCTGAGTAGAATGTTTTCTGAGGTGAATCACTTATTTTTGCTTTTGTTGTGTGTTCTTATGATACCTTTCTTTGCAACTTTGATCAAGTCAATTTTTAATCATTCATTCATTAATTCATTTAATCCAATATTTGAATTCTACCTAAGTCCAGGAACTGCCCCAGGCCCTAAGGATTAAAAAAGTAAGCCTGGGGATGTCACTTAGTGGTTAAGAGCAGGCACTGTTCTTGCAGAGGAGCCTATTTCAATTCTTAGTACATACATTGGGTGGCTAGCATGTACTTATGACTCCAGCCCTAGGATGATCAGATAGATGTCTCTTGCCTTCAGAGGTACTTGAATTCACACACACACACACACACACACACACACACACACACACACACACACACACTTAAAACTACATCTTAAAATAGTAAGCTTATTCCTTCTGGTTAAACTGCAGGAAAAAAGAAAATATATCAAGGCTGGAGAGATGGTTCAGCAGTTAAGAGCACTTGTTGCTTTTGCAGAAGACTAGAGTTCAATTTCCATGCGATGGCTCATAGTCATCAGCAACTCCAGTCCCAGGAGATCTGACAACCTCTTCTGACTTCCATGAGCATCAGGCTTGTATGTGGTACACACCCATCCATCCAGGCAAAACATCCACACACATAAATAAGTATTAAAAGAAGATATCAGTAGATGAGAAGATCTAGTGGGGGAAAAAAAAACAACAGAGTAGGGGTGCTGCACTGATGAAGCCATTGTAGAGGCTCCTGTAGATTGCAGCTGGGATTTTGGAGCATAGAATATGGGATAATGACATCCATTTTTGAGACAACCAATGTAGAGAAAGGTATAGATTACAAATTGAGGTTGGCAGATAAAAAAGCGTTATTCCAGGCTCATCAGTGAAAAGCTGAGGGTAAGTTGAGATCAATCTACAGGCACAAGCTAACAACAGAAACATGGACTCAACCCATTTTCCTCTTATTTTCAATACCATTTTTCTCTGTAGCACAAACCACTGAGGAATGGGAATGTAATTAACAATGTGCTGTGAGATAAGGGAATTCACCACAGTTAGGCAAGAAAAGCAAGAAATTATGTAAAAGCAGGGAGAGGAAAGCCCTTCCTTCTACAGGATGGAGGTATTTGATATTCAGCTCTCTGCCTTAAAGACTCTTGTAGCAATCCTGCAGAGAGCTGGGGTCACACGTGGCTCCAATTACTCCCTTTACCTGCATGGTTCTCATCCTATTTGGAAGTTGACTGAACCTTTACTCTTGTCTCTGGCCTCTCTAAATCATGTGGTGAAGATAAAGTAAGTCTTGAAAAGCTACCTCATCTTTAGCAGGTCCAAAATGGGGAGAAGCTTCAGGAATGTACCATAACATCCCACCCACATCCTTTCCCTTCTTTACTCAAACAAATCTGAAACAACAAAGGTTGAAAACTTTCCACTCTGCCTTATTATGACAGTACCGTGGGTACACAACCGGCTGGGGGTTTCAGTAGCCCGAGGGAGGTAGGGATGTGTCTGCTCCCAGCTCAGTCACTCCCACAATAAACAATCACTAAACAGCTTGCTGCCCTAGGCAACTGCTTGTCCAGCTTGGTCAGGCTCTGAGGCTAGGGTAGGAAGTGTTCTAAACCAGAATTCAGGCTCTGAGGCCAAGTAATGCTCGGGAGTCTAGCACACCTTTGAGGCCCTTGGGGGTTCCTTTAAAAGACCGCTTTTATCAGAATCATCCAATTAAGTTTACCCGGGATGACAGGGCTTGGGGAAGGGGAGTCAATGGAAGGAAGGTCAACTGAAGAAAGGAACGGTGGCACATTCATTGTAAATAAAGTTATTTTTCTTGCTTCAAAGATTCCCTTCTGTAGCTAGGGCAGGTGACATCTTAAAAACCCCAGCTCAAGACTAACACCACCAATGGGGGCAAAATGAAATGGCTTCTCCTCTTCAGCCATTAGGTCCCTCCCGGCCAGTGAAAAGAACAGGTGGGAGGGATTCAGGAACGAAGAGACGGCAAGCCGATCAGAAGGGTTTAAGAGGTGTCTTCTCAAGCTCACAAGCACAAATCGAGAACTGCAACAATTCCATCGGACTGTGGCAATTCCTCTGTATTGTTGAGGATGGGTGTCTCCGTGAGGAAGACAGAAAAAACGGGTGGGTTACACAGGGGAATTGGGAAGACTGTTTCAATGTTCAAAAGAAAATAACAAAAAAAAAAAAAAAAAATGGGCCTCAGCGGGTCTAAGTGTGGGGGAGAAACATCCCGACCGGCGCTCGCTTTCCATGAAGTCCCCACCCCCTCCTCTGGCTTCTCCATTTTCAGGCATCCTTCACCAGGAACCGGTCCTCTCTGCCTCCCGGCGGGGAGGCGTTCCCGGCTCGTGGAGACCCCGGGCATCCCGAGCAGCGGGTTGCCGGGCGTGTCCCCCACCCTTCCGCCCGCGCCTTTGGGGCTCAGCCTGGTCCAGGTTGCATTCCGGGCCCGGCGTGCCGGAGGCCAGCGGTGGGCGACGCCCGGCCCCGGCTTTGCGCTCCGCCCGCCGCTCGTGCGCTCCGGGGTCCCCGCGCCCGCGCCGCGCCGGCGCCTCTGCCGGCCGCCGGGGGTTATGAATGGGCGCAGCGGAAGCCCCGCCCCACCCGGACGTGACGCCCGGCCAATGGCAGCGCGGGCTGCGTGGATGGATGAGGTCAGCGCTGTCGTGTCGGGAATGGAATGTGTAAGTGTAACATTCAGAACCGGGTAACATTCGGCGACCGAACGCGGCGGTCGGCAGCGGTAGCGCGGGGCCTGCGAAGCGCCGCTCGGGGCCGGCACTGCCCGCGGGGGAGGACGCGCCGCCGCCGCCGCCCCGCGTCGCCTCGTGCAGCCGGCCGGGCCGCCGCGCGCCCGGGGAGCCGGCCCCGTGAGCGCAGGAGTAAACACCGGCGGAGTGTGGGAGCCGCTGCAGAAGGGAATAAAGAGACATGCAGGGATTTGTGAGGTTACGGCGCCCCAGCTGCAAGATGCACTAGCCGGCTGAAGCCGGGGCGGGTTGACTTGTTGGAACCGTAGTGCTCTGCACGGGAGTGTGGATGAGTTGAAGTTGCTTTCCCCGGGCTCGTTCTCCACGCCGCCGAGAGGAATCCGAGCGGCGAGGCAGGCACTTCGTCTTGCCATTGATTGGGTATCGGGAGCTTTTTCTTCACCGCTCTCTTTCTTTTCCTCCGTCTTGTTGCATGCAAGAAAATTACAGTCCGCTGCTCGCCCGCCCTGGGTGCGAGACCTTCTGCCCGGCTCTCTCCCGTGCATTGTGCAGCCCAAAGATGAAAGACCGAAGGGGAGAAAGTTAAAGAAATCGCCCACATGCGCTGGATCAGTCCACGGCTTGGGGAAAGGCATCCAGAGAAGGTGGGAGCGGAGAGTTTGAAGTCTTTACAGGCGGGAAGATGGCGGACTGGAGCTGAAAGTGTTGATTGGGAAACTTGGGTGATTCTTGTGTTTATTTACAATCCTCTTGACCCAGGCAGGACACATGCAGGCCAAAAAACGCTATTTCATCCTGCTCTCAGCTGGCTCTTGTCTCGCCCTTTTGTTTTATTTTGGAGGCGTGCAGTTTAGGGCATCGAGGAGCCACAGCCGGAGAGAAGAGCACAGTGGTCGGAATGGCTTGCACCAGCCCAGTCCGGATCATTTCTGGCCCCGCTTCCCGGACGCTCTGCGCCCCTTCTTTCCTTGGGATCAATTGGAAAACGAGGATTCCAGCGTGCACATTTCCCCCCGGCAGAAGCGAGACGCCAACTCGAGCATCTACAAAGGCAAGAAGTGCCGCATGGAGTCCTGCTTCGATTTCACCCTTTGCAAGAAAAACGGCTTCAAAGTCTACGTCTACCCGCAGCAGAAAGGGGAGAAAATCGCCGAAAGTTACCAAAACATTCTAGCGGCCATCGAGGGCTCCAGGTTCTACACCTCGGACCCCAGCCAGGCGTGCCTCTTTGTCCTGAGTCTGGATACTTTAGACAGAGACCAGTTATCACCTCAGTATGTGCACAATTTGAGATCCAAAGTGCAGAGTCTCCACTTGTGGAACAATGGTAGGAATCATTTAATTTTTAATTTATATTCTGGCACTTGGCCTGACTACACCGAGGACGTGGGGTTTGACATCGGCCAGGCGATGCTGGCCAAAGCCAGCATCAGTACTGAAAACTTCCGACCCAACTTTGATGTTTCTATTCCCCTCTTTTCTAAGGATCATCCCAGGACAGGAGGGGAGAGGGGTTTTTTGAAATTTAACACCATCCCTCCTCTCAGGAAGTACATGCTGGTCTTCAAGGGGAAGAGGTACCTGACAGGGATAGGGTCAGACACCAGGAATGCCTTATATCACGTCCATAACGGGGAGGACGTCTTGCTCCTCACCACTTGCAAACACGGCAAAGACTGGCAGAAGCACAAGGACTCTCGCTGTGACAGAGACAACACCGAGTACGAGAAGTAAGTAAGGGCAGCTGCCCGCCCTTCCCTGCGATGCTCTGCCCTGGGCCCTGGATGCCTGAGTCCAGGTGTGAGGTTGGGGGGGATGCCGGGTGGAGACGGAGAAGCCTTCAGATCTGTTGCTTCCTGTTTTGAGCCTGGGACCCAGCAGCTTCTCAGGCAAACTCGACTGCAGTCCAGTCAAGGCAGGCTATACTTTGAAAACCATTCAGGACCCGTGCGTGTGTCTTCCGTGCATTTTATGGGGTTCTGATCCAAGTTTGGAAACTGCGCTTCACTGATGGGGTGCGAGAGAGTGTTTGTGAGGTGTCTGGAGACCCGGAGAGACACTGATGCTATCCAAGTCCACAGACACTCGCCTCTATGATGTTTTTTTTTTTTTCATGAATATGGGTACCTGTTCTTAGTGGAGTTTTCCAGGCTTAAATTTTCATCCTTTTTCCTAAGCTTTAGATTCTTTCTAGCTGGAGGAATATTTAAATTTTAGCTACCCAACTTGTGACTGCTTCTTACTTCCTCCACAGCATTGATATTTATTAAAGGTAGAGTGTAAGTTGGTTAAGGCCTGTGGGTTTGAATGTATTCATCATTCATTCATTCATTCATTCATTCATTCATTCATTTGTATAAGCCCTGTCTTTCTTTGGAGAAACTTTAAAATCTGGGCCTCAGGCCCACTGTGGTAAACTACCCTTGCTAATTTAGATTTCCCTTTCTTCTTTGTCTTTATCTATTTGCATATAAATGTAGACTGTTACTCTTTGAATGGGCTCGAGATGCCTCCTTAGCCTCTGAGGAGGGGAGAGTTTTGTCTAGTTGCTAAGTAACTGAGTTGGTTACTTTGTAGCCCCTTTCAGTCTTCCTTTTCCTTGTCTTTAACAGTAGCTGACACACAGGATTTCAGGTCAAAGTTAGAATCCACAAATCTGCTTTAAACCCAGGCTAGCAGGTCAGTTTCCTGATAGCTGAGGTCAGTGCCCCAGACTCCTACTTGTGTCTGGCTGGGAAAGAGTTAGTGAGCTCCTATGGTGCATTTCCACTTTACGCCAGTTAAAAAACCTGAGCAGCCTTGTGCTTCCCAGGGAAGGAAGGGGAAACCTCTCAGCTGAGTGTACAAGAGGAACTGGCAGAGGTTGGCCGATTGTGCAATTGATTCATGAAATGCAGAATAGGGGAAATGCTTCCCAAACCTGATTGGATCTGGAAGGGGTAGGGTGGGAAAGGGGCCCTGAAATGAAAGGTTTGATTGTTGTCCACGGATTCCCTCTCTCTCTCTCTCTCTCTCTCTGGTCTTCGTGGGAGTGATTGCAAGGGAAATTAAAGCCCTCCCAGACTTGATCATAGAGAATGAGGGTGGGAGGAAGTATCAAGTACTTGGATTCTGCTTCTGAACCCCTAGGACCCTTTCCATTTCAAGCGTAGGAAAAGCCTGCGGCTAGGATCAATTATGAATCTATATTTTCCTCTTACGCAGGGAAGTTATGTGTGAATATTGAGTGTTGTTTTAACGGAGTGAAATTTTTTTTTCCTCACAAAATACTCTTAAACTATGGTCAGAAATAAACTGCTTTGTTTAAAGGACATCTACTTTGATATATTCTTGGGGGTGCTTATAAGAAAGCAGTGCCTTCTAGGAATTTCTTTGGCTGGTGTGTGGTACAGTAACATGGCAAGATGGGCTTGATCTTTTCATGTCTTCTGAAGGACTCTCACCACATTTTATAGAAAGACCACGATGTTCTTCGTTCTGGAAGAGCAGAACAGAGGAGCTTGCACCTTAGGAAACTTGACCTGCATTTGGGAAGTATCCTGAGTCCTGACCTCCAGTCATTTCTTCGTGGTGGTCGTTTCCCCACAGTAAATATCAATTCTTTTACATTTTCTGTGGAAAGCTTGCTTTCGCTTTCTAGAGAGCAGGGATGAAGAAAGGTGTGGCTGACCTGGCTTCCTTGCAACTTTGTTTTGCTAGTTGAATGTAATTAATTTTTCACCTCTCTGTGACTGGGCCAAAAAATCTGACAGAGTCTTCCACCTTTTCTTGATTTATGTTTAAAGACCACCAGGGTCAGGGTCTTGGGATCATACCTCTTTGGAAATGTGGCATTTAGAAAGAAAGCCAGTTTGCTTTTTCTCCTGAACAGGGTTTTCCTTGGGTTTATGTTCCCTTTTACACTCCTTCCAGCCCTAACTTCACTTAATAGGATGTGTTAGTAGTGCAGAATACTTGCATTCACCAGCCCGGAATTCCTAAAGTTTTAACTCTTACCCGTCTTGGATTATCAGAATTGTTACTTGCAGATATTATCGAGTTTTGCTTTTGACTTTGAGATACACAGGGATAAACCCAGAATGCAGAAATCTGGAAGCAACGTGTGGCATAGTAGATAGACCTATGCTACAGTCTGAAATAAGAGTAACTGATGTGCTCCTTCGGTAGGGGGGCGGGGGGGGGGGGGGCATGCAAAACCCCCCAGCCGCACTGAGGCTAACCACACCAGGCCTTTGAAGAGGAGGAGATACTGAAGTCAGGTCTGTGGAAGTGGTCCTTGAAGGTTTGGCTTTTTACCTGGACTCAATCAATCTCTTGAGTTGATTTCTACCCGGGGTTTAAGCTGTTTCCAGGATGCTCCAGACATTCGCTTGGTAACAAGCCATAAAGACGGGATCAATTTTCAACTACTTCTCTTCTTCATTAGCAAGTGCCTATGAAAAGGTTTCAACTTAATTTGCTTCTGCAAGCAACCTCATCCAAGTTTGCTTTGGACACCGGATCTGATAATTAGATTGGAAATTTATGGCACCTTGGTCATGATAGGCTAGTAGAACATAAGCAGATGCTTCAACTCCAAAAATAGTTGCTTTTAGTGATGGTATGTGATGCTGTAGGTTTAAAGTCAGATGGTTGAGGATTCCTGTCCCACTTGTGATTTTGTGAAAAATCACACATTGATCACATCAGCACAGACCAGCTCCATCGAGTGAATGGGAATATTTTTGTGCTAGAGAAAAAAAAAATTAGTTCCTGTAAACTTTGATCTAGCTTTCCAAGATTATGCTAAACATCCATTTTGTTTTGTTTTGTTTTTTGAGACAGGGTTTCTCTGTGTAGCTTTGTGCCTTTCCTGGAACTCACTTGGTAGCCCAGGCTGGCCTTGAACTCACAGAGATCCACCTGGCTCTGCCTCCCAAGTGCTGGGATTAAAGGCCTAATTTTACCAGTTACAGTTCTTTTTAGTTTTTTGAGACAAGGTTTCTCTGTGTTGCCCCAGCTGTCCTGGAACTTGCTCTGTAGACCAGGCTGGGATCCCCTTGAACTCAGGGATCCACTGTCTCTGCTTCCCAAGGGATGGGATTAGTACAAGCATCACCACACCCGGCTTTCAGTTGTGTATCCTAACAGGTGTAAGTGAAGTAAGGAGTAAGTCTCTGCTGGAATTTGGTGATCTGGAGTGAGGCCTTGGAGAAATGCTCTCCATTCTAATCCTTTGGGGCTTCTCAGGCATCCTTGCTATGTCTTTGGATGAAGGTCACAGTTCAGATCCCTTTGAAGGTCATTATTGGGGAACTTCAAGTTTGGCAGAAGGAAGAGAAGGTAATGAGAGGTGGCATCTATTCCCCCTGATTGTTTTCAAGCAGCTTTGCTGAGAACAGTCAAAAGACTGTGCAGATCTTTGGACCCTTTTCTGTGTTCACTTAATACTTAAATACTGGTATTTAAAAAACAAAAATATTTCTTTAGTGCATGTGGTACACACACACACACACACACACACACACACACACACACACACACACACACACACGTGTGGAGGTCAGAGGCAACTTTCAGCCAGTCTTCTTCTTTTGGTGAGCTCTGGGAATCCGAATGCACATCCTTAGGCTTGGAGACAATTGCCCTTCCCTACCAAGTCACCTCATCAGCCCCAGCTAGGTCATGTTTAAGGTAGGTGATCAGTTAGCTTCTAGCACTCTCCTTTCTTAGGAATAGAAGGATGGCGAATTTTGGGGACCAGTCAGAACTCTGATGACTATTAGGAGTAGTTCTAGAATGGCCTTTGGGAGTTTTCATTGGTCAGCACAGCACTCTTCCATTTCTAATTGCAAACACTTTGGAAACTCTCAGCCCTCAGGACATCCACGTTGGTGCTGGTGGTTGGTATTTCTGTAACTTGATGAAAACTTTCCAAGGGTCACTGGAAGGTGACGAAAAAAAAACCCCCAAAACAAAAAAACAATGCATATACAGTTTGTCCTGTAGCTTAAAGGGCTGATGGAACTCTTTACAAGGACATGCTCAGAGTCTTGCTGTGGGGTTCCTATTTTCTTTTCATTGTTAATTACGGTGCTTGTGTCCCAGAAAGTGCTTAGCTTAGCTAGTTCTTCTTTTTAATGTTTTATTTTATTTTATTGAGACTTTCTGTTTGGCCTTCAGAATTTAGGGAACAGATCAAATTGACCAAACAAGCTGATTTCAGATAACACTGCAGAGGAAGGAAGATGTGCTTCAGACAAGTCATAACCCAAAAGGGCTCTTCTCTCTCTTTCCTCCATTGTCCTCAAGTGGCTTGACAGACACTTGGAGCAAGTTCCTAATGAGCCAGGCCTAACTTTTCGCCACGTGTGTCTTCCTCCTCCCAAGTGAAAGGCGGGAACTGTGAGTCACAGACTTCAGATGTAAAATTTGAGCACCTTTCTCTTCCCCACAGCTGTGTGATGGTACAAAAGTGTTTCCAAAATAAACCACAGATTAGGAATAAAACAGTAGTCCTGTGCCAAGCTAGGAAGTCCACAAGTATGTGCTGACAGTGAAGCTATGCCCCCACCCCCCAAGTTCCCTTCCCTCTCTGAACCCGCTTTCTGCAGAGACCATCTGAAAGCCTGTTTCACAAGGAATTAAGGTTGGGGAGTGTTATCACTACCTGGAGGGATATATTTGCACTTTATTTGAGTCCAGAGTAAGAAGTGTTGAATGGTGTCTGTTACCTGAGCTATGGGCCTAA